TCCCCCCTCCAAGAGGAAGACTAAGAGGAGACAAACCGGAAGTACCTGAGGGTGGATTCTGGAGCTTCGTAGTCGGGTTGCTCTTGAGGCCAACGGTTTTGGCCAACTTGGCATGGCAGCCGCAAGGTGCGAGCCCGTTGCGGGGAATCTCATTCATAAGAATTTGCGTGCCTTGCTGAACATTGGATTGCATGCTAGGGCTCGTGCTACGACTTCCAGCACCAGGTCGTCTACGTCGACAGCCTCTGCGGGGAAACGCTGGATTTTCTTGTCTGTCGGAGTGCGATCTCCTTGCAAATCTGGAGGGACGCTTCTTTCGAGTTCCACGTGTGCTTTGCGGAACCCTGGGCTCCGTAACCGGCTTTCTGCCGCGGCTTCCGGCACCAAGTCACTCCCTGCTCCGCTTCCCCGGTCCCCCTCTTCCTCCACATCCCATCAGCATCACCATTATCATCATCATAATCAGCATCAGCATCATCATAATCACCATCACCATCACTATTATCAACATCATTGCAATCACCATCACAACAACTATCACCATCACCATCACCACCACCATCATCATCATCATCATCATCACCATCATCACCACTACCACTGCCATCAAAATTATAATCGTCATCGTCATCGTCAGCATCATCGCCACCATTATTACCATCACCACCATCATCATCTCCGTCACCACCACCACCACTACCACCATCATCATCATCGTCATCATTCACATCATCAGCACCATCATCTTTATAATCATCATCAACATCAACATCATCGTCATCGTCAACATTTTTATTAGTAGCATCACCATCGCAATCACCATACCTATCACCTTCACCATCACCATGCCCATCACCACCATCATCACCAGTTTCTTATGATTGTTGTTGCTGCTGCTGTTGGTGTTGCTGTAGTAGTAGTAGTAGTAGTAGTAGTAGTAGTAGTAGTAGTAGTAGTAGTAGTAGTAGTAGTAGTAGTAGTAGTAGTAGTAGTAGTAGTAGTAGTAGTAGTAGTAGTAGTAGTAGTAGTAGTAGTAGTAGTAGTAGTAGTAGTAGTAGTAGTAGTAGTAGTAGTAGTAGTAGTAGTAGTAGTAGTAGTAGTAGTAGTAGTAGTAGTAGTAGTAGTAGTAGTAGTAGTAGTAGTAGTAGTAGTAGTAGTAGTAGTAGTAGTAGTAGTAGTAGTAGTAGTAGTAGTAGTAGTAGTAGTAGTAGTAGTAGTAGTAGTAGTAGTAGTAGTAGTAGTAGTAGTAGTAGTAGTAGTAGTAGTAGTAGTAGTAGTAGTAGTAGTAGTAGTAGTAGTATTTGTTGTTGTGGTCGAACTCTTGTTTCTAAGAAATAAGTATTGTTGGTCCCTCTGGTAGCCGTTGTACTTTCTTAATTGAAGTGCCCCTCCTGGGACTGGCACCTTGTTTTCTATCAAGGAAAATCTTGAAGGTCAAACCGGGCCCCTGGCCCCCGAGTTATAACAACATCGGCTCCCACCTGATACTTCCTCACGATGTATTCCCAAATCGCGCTCTCGCGCGGAACTTCCTCACAATTCATTCAGGAATCGCGCTCTCGCGTGGGACCTCCTCGCAATTTATTCAAACGCCGCGCCCTCGACATTCAGGAGTCACGCTCTCGCTGTGGATTTGCTCACGATTTATTCGGGAATCGCGCTGTCACTCGAGACTTCCTCGCGATTCAAGCAGGACGCACGCTTCAGCAACCAGCCTGCTCGACCTGGCCGCCTGGGCCCTCCTTCCTGACCCGCCTGGTAGGGTCTGCCCGCCCGATCTGCCCGTCTGGTTCTGGCACGTGCTGTCTGCTCCTAGCCCGTGCTCTATCCTCCTCCCTCCCCCTTGTCCTTCCTTCCATCCGTCCTCTTTTCCCTGCCTCAGAGGCTGCGCGAAATACACGTTGCAGGTAAGAAAGATGTGCCGCCAAGGGGGTACGGTCGACGACGAAAAGGGCGGGTATCGAGGGTTCGGGATATACGTGTTGAGTGGCACGCGAGAAGATAAGAGCGAACAGTATTAAAATGGTTGTTGTTGTGGTCAAGTCGTTGTTGTGTTCGCAGGAGTGGGCAGGTTTTGGGTTTCTTCAGTCCTTCTCTGGCCTCTGGGAGCCTCTGGTAGCCTGCACAAATCTTCGGGGACCTCTGGGGATCTCTGGAGACCTCGTCCTCCTCCTCCTCCTCCTCCTCCTCCTCCTCCTCCGCCTCCTCCTCCGCCTCCTCCTCTGATGTCGACGACAACGTCGACGACGACGGCAAATGGTTGCCGGATGCGAGCCGCCGCGGCCGCTGCCTGGAAGGGAGGCCCGGGCGGGATGCGCGCGGCTCCTGGTTCTTGCTGAGCGACCGGAGCTGGAACTCCAGGATCGACGGGTCCGACGGGTTCATGGTGGGCTCCTCGGCGACGCCCTCCACTCCTCTCCCCTCGGCCTGCCCCCGCCAGGCCAGATCGGCGCAGCACCTGGGCGGCGACGGTGGCCCTGACGGCGGAGGCCGCCCAGGCGGGGCTTGAACAACTGTGGGGATGCGGAAGTTCGCGCCGCATCGCCGGTGCCTCGGCGATGCGGCGCGACCCTCCGACCCTCGCCTGCTGTGGCTCGACCGGACCGCTTGGGCGCCTGGGGCGGCTCGGACCCTCCGACCCGCCGCTCGGGCGGCCCGGGGACGAGCCCGACCGCTGGGGCGAGCGCCCCCCAGACGACTGCGCCGCCCTTCGCGCCTGCTCCTGGGCGGCGAGCCGCTGCCGCGGGCCGCCGCAGGCCGCTGCCGTCGCCCCAGAAGGGGGGGGGGGTGCGGAAGCTTTCGCTCCATCGTGGAGCTCCTGGGGCCCTCTGGGCCTCGTGAGGGGTGCTCTGGAGGCAGCGGGCGACCTCCTCGGACATCCTGGGGACACCTTGGGCCAGGGGCACTTCCGGACCCCCCCCCCCGGGCACCTGGGGGAACGAAATTCCGAGGCCCGCGCGACTTCGTGCTGGGATCCTCTGGCACTCCCCGGCTAGGTGGGGGCAAAGGGGGGGAGGACGCCGAGCAGGGGGGCAGGGACAGCGCGGTCGTCGCGTGCCATAGGGGATGGAGGCCGGGCTAGACTGCCACCTCGAGCGCTGGTGTCTCGAGCTGGGCAAGAGGTGCTGCTGGAACGCCTGAGCAAAATTAAGATCGAGCAAAGCTTCTGCTGCCACCTTACTCGGGGCTGGGCTGGCAGAGAGGGCACCGGAGGGCCTCCCAGGCGAGAAAAGGGCCCTGGCCATAATGAAAAGAGATCGTGGGGTATGTCTCCATACTTAGAGACACGATGGCCAGGTTGGGTGGGCTCCGCTCATGTCTGCTCCCTCTGCTCCCTCCTCCCTCTGTTCTCGCTTCATGCCCTTCCCTACTTTCCACTCCCTTCTCCCCCATCTCTCTCAGCCTCCCTTCCTCGTCTTCTCGTCTTGATGAATTCGTCTCCTCCTCCTCTGCCACTTCCTTCATCTTCTTCTCCACCTCTCCTCTCCTCTTCCCTCTTTCCCTCTCCGCCTCTTCCCCCTCCTCGCTCCTAGCTTCTCACTTCGCCTTCCTCCTCTCTCCTCCCCCCACCTCCTCCTTCTCCTCCTCCTTATCTCTTCCTCTTCCTCCTCCTCTCTCCTCCTCCTCCTCATCTTGCTCTTCCTCTTCCTCTCTCTCTCCCCACCCCTTCCTTACCTCCCCACCCTCCTTCTCCTCCTCCTCCTCCTCCTCCTCCTCCACTTCGTCACTTTCCCCCTCATTATGAGCAGCTCGCCTCCCCTTCGTCACCAGGCGCGTCATCAGGGCGGACCGGGCGCCTCGCCCAAGACGCCCTCACCGCTTGCGACTTCGAGGCTGGAGCTGTCCCACAGCTACGCGGACGGAGGGCGGACTGTCTGTCGAAATAGGGCCCTCGTTTTGGCGCCGCGCAAGACCCGTCTTCACCGGGATCAACTGCTGCACGCGTGGAGCGGGGTCGCTTTCAGTGGGGCTCCCGCCTGGGCGCCGCGCGCAACCGTCGAACAACGGGCGTGACGCGGCTCCTTTTCAAAACGGGGCCATCGCCGGAGGCTTCCTCACAACATATGGCCACACACACGTCATTGCGTAACGCTTGCACGGGTCACGACGGTGCCTTCTCAAACACGGGCTGTCGCTCAGAACTCTCTTGGTTATTTTATGGCCAGGAATGAGGAGTGCGCAGCAGCGACACGGATGGAGCGCGGTTCCTCTTGAAAAGGGGCCGTCGCTCGGCACTTCCCTGCACTTTCTGACCGCACCTTGTCGTGTTCGTTATGGCTCGACGGCTGGAGGGAAGGTCCTTTCAAAAATGGAGCTCCTGCCTGACTTGCGAGCCCATGGGCCATTCGTCTTTCAAGGGGGGAGCTTCGCGCAGTGAAGCAGAATGCTTGTATGGACGAGTGTGTGGGGGAGTCGGGACTGGAGGGTGTATGGCAGCATCGTTCATACATCTTGGATTTACTCTGGTACTCGTCGTCCTCCTCCCCCTCCTCCTCCTCCTCCTCCTCCTCCACCTCCTCCTCCTCCACCTCCTCCTCCTCCTCCTCCTCCTCTCTCCTCCTCTCTCCTCCTCTCTCCACCTCGTTCTCCTCCTCCTCTCTCCACCTCCTCCTCCTCCTCCTCCTCCTCCTCCTCCTGTCTCCTCCTACTCCTCCACCTCCTCCTCCTCCTCGCTCCTCGCTCCCTGCTCCCCGACCTTCACTCTGCCCGAGCAAGATTCGCGCCCCCCCCCTGCCTGCCCTCCCCCCCCCCCTCAGCCGCAGTCGCAATCGCCGGCGCCGCCACGTCCATCGCCGAAGCCTCCGCCCCCGCCGCCGTTCTTCAGAACTTCGAGCCCACCCAGGGAGGCTCCAGAAGACACGAAACGTAACACACTTTCCCTCATCGTTGTCGCCGTCGTCGCTGCCGTCGTCGTCGCCGCCGTCTTGGCGGACAACCCCCGAGGCAAGCGCGTCGAGGCAAGTGACGCCGAGCCCCATCGGCTCGCCGTCTGGCCGGGGCATCTTGAGGAATGCGTCGACCTCGTAAGCAGGAGATGGGTAGAGGGTGGTGGAGGACGGGGAGGAGAAAGATGATGATGATGATGATGATGATGATGATGATGATGATGATGATGATGATGATGATGATGATGATGATGATGATGATGATGATGACGCTGCTGCTGATGTTTGCCTGCCCCAAATCTCATCGCAACCAGACTCGGTTCATAGATCCTCTGGTGTGTTGCCACCAGCTCACGAGCGGAAACTGCCAGGATGGGAATGCGCCAGGGAAGCTGGACAATCTTGAAGTGCAGCCTGCAGCAGGAGGGGGAACAAAGTCGCTTCGATGATGTCGTTGATCCAGCTCGTGGGCGAAAACTCTACGGTAAGTTCGTGCGGCGTCGGCGCGGGCAAAGGTTTTGACACCGTCGATCATTCAACCTTGAACCGATCGCGGCCCCGATCGTTAAAAACGAATTCCGTGGGGCCCTGTGGCATTACCGTGCCACCTCAGTGGTTCCGCGTCGTTCCATCATGCGGACCTTAACCTCGAACGCCTTCGCTGGCGTCACGGGCGCGCCGTCGCCGCGTGAACCTACCGCACAGTCGGGCTAGATTGGAGAGGACACGCGAGAGGACACAAGACCCTTCCGAGGGCCACGTTGCCATAGGAATGTGAGAAGGCATGGGTCGCGAAGCTCAGGACACGAGGGTACCCTCGATTTGGCAGGGTCGACCTACTAATGAGTCTCGACTGTAAGGCAGCCGCCGAGGGGCGCCGGCCCCTGCACTGTTCCCAGTCCTCTCCGCCCTCGGGTCTCGGGCGATGCGTGCCTGCCACGAGCGCAGCTCGGAGCTGGGCTCCCGCCCCGCCTCCGCCTCGCCCCCCCCCCTGGTCGTCTGCAGCCCGGGAATGGTGGGGGAAGAGGAGGGGGAGGAGGATGAGGAGGAGGAGGAGGAGGAGAGAGGAGGAGGAGGATATGGAGGAAGACGATGAGGAGGAGGAGGGGGATGAGGAGAAGGAGGAGGAGGATGAGGAGACGGATGCTGATGATGATGCTGCTGCTGATGATGATGAGGAGGAGGAGGAGGAATGAGGCGGAGGAGGCGGAGGGGGGAGGAGGAAGAGGAGGAGGAAGATGAGGCGGGGGAGGAAGAGGATGATGAGGATGAGGAGGAGGATGCGGAGGAGGAGGATGATGAGGAGGAGAGGGAGGAGAGGGATGATGAGAAGGACGAGGGAGAGGACGAGGAGGAGGACGAGGATGAAGATGAGGAGGATGAGGAGGAGGAGGACAACGAGGAGCATGCTGAGGAATATGATGAGGATGAGGAGGATGACGAGGAGGAATATGAGGATGATGATGATGATGAGGAGGTGGAGGACGAAGAGCAGTATGAGGATGCGGACGACGATGACGATGCTTAGGATGATGACGAGGAGGAGGATGATACTGAGGATGATGAAGAGGAGGACGAGGAGAGGGAGGATGACGACGCTAAGGATGATGATGATGAGGAGGAGGACGAGGAGGAGGAGGACGAGATGGAGGAAGAGGAATCTGAGGAGGGCGAGGCAAATGAGGATGCTGAAGCTGACGATGATGATGCGGCTGATTACGATGGTGATGATGATGATGCCGATGATGATGCTGATGCTGTTGCTGATGCTGATGATGCTGATTATGCTGCTGATGATGATGATGATGATGCTGATGATGATGATGATGATGATGATGATGATGAGGCGGGACATGACGAATATGACTATGAGGCGAACGAGGAGGAGAGGGATGATGAGGCTGATGATGCTGCTGCTGATGCTGCTGATGATGACGATGATGAGGCGGACGAGGATGAGACGGATGGTGATGAGGAGGAGGATGGGGACAATGACGAGGAGCAGGAGGAAGATGACGAGGAAGATGCGGACGATGATGCGGAGGAGGAATACAACCATGATGGTGAGGAGGAGGATGAGGACGAGGAGGAGGAGGAGGAGGCGGAGGAGGAGGAGGAGGGATGGGAAGAGGAGGAGGAAGATGACGCCAACGCGGAGGAGGATATGAAGGAGGAGGAGCGGGAGGAGGACGAAGCCGATGATGATGAGGAGGGGGCGGATGATGCAGAGGATGCGGATGAGGACGATGAGGAGCTTGAGGAAGAAGATGAGGATGCGAGGACGCGGATGCTGATGCTGATGATGATGATGCTGATGATGATGATGATGATGATGATACTGATGATGCTGATGATGATGATGATGCTGATGATGATGATGACGATGCTGCTGATGATGATGATGATGCTGATGATGATGATGATGATGAGGAAGAGCAGGACGAGGAGGAGGAGGAGGAGGAAGAAAGGAGGAGGAAGATGAGGCGGAGGACGCGGAACAACGATGAGGAATAGGCGGAGGAGGATGATGAGGAGGACGAGGACGAGGAGGAGGAGGAGAAGGACGCGGATGCGCAGGAGGGGGAGGAGGCGGATGCGGAGGAGGAGAAAGCGGAGGCTGAGCAAGGGGGAAGAGAAGGAGGACGATGAGGAGGCGGAGAATGATAGGGCGGAGGAGGTGGTGGAGGAGGAGGAGGATGAGGAGAAGGAGGATGAGGAGGAAGATGAGGACGACGAGACGGATGATGAGGAAGATGAGGAGGAGGACGAGGAGGAGGAAGATGAGGAGGAGGGGGATGGGGAGGAGGGAGAAGAAGAGGAGTGGGAGGAGAAGGATGTGGCGGAGGAGGCGGATGAGGAGGGTGAGGATGAGGAGGAGGAGGAGGAGAAGAGGGAGGAGGAGGATGACGACGAGGATGATGCTGAGGAGGATGATGATACTGATGAGGAGAAGGAAACCGATGAGACTGAGGAAGACGATACGGATACTGAGGATGATGCTGATGCTGATGCTGATGCTGCTGCTGATGATGCTGTTGATGAGGATGCCGATGCTGATGCTGATGCTGCTGCTGCTGCTGCTGATGGATGGATGATGATGATGAGATTGATGTGATGAGGATGAAGAGGACGAGGAGGACGAGGAGAGGGATGATGAGGAAGAGAGGGATGATGAGGATGAGGAGAAGATGAGGAGGAGGATGGGGAGGAATGAGAGGAAGCAGGATGAGGTGTGGGGGGAGGAGGAGGAGGAGGAGGAGGAGGAGGTGAGGAGGAGGAGGGGGAGAGGATGAGGAGGAGGAGGAGGAGGAGGAGGAGAGAGGAGGGGGAGGATGAGACGATGAGGAGGAGGAGGAGGAGGAGGAGGAGGAGAGGAGGCGGAGGAGGAGGAGGAGGAGGAGGAGGAGGAGGAGGAGGAGGAGGAGGAGGAGGAGGGAGGAGGAGTAAAGGGGGAGGAGAAGGACGAGAGGAGGAGGAGGAGGAGGGGGAGGAGGATGAGGAAGATGAGGATGAGGACGCGGAAAACAAAGATGAGGAATATGCGGAGGAGACTGATGAGAAGGAGGACGACGAGGAGGAGGATGATGCGGAGGCGGAGGAGGGGGAGGCGGAGGCGGAGGAGGAGCAGGCGGAAGCTGAGGAGGGGGAGGAGAAGGAAGACGATGCGGAGGCGGAGAATGATAGGGAGGAGGAGGATGAGGAGGAGGAGGATGAGGTTGATGAGGATGACGATGAGGAGGACGAGAAGGATGCTGAGGAGGATGACGAGGAGGAGGAAGAGGAGGATGAGGGGGAGGGGGAGGAGGGAGAGGAGGAGGAGGAGTGGGAAGAGAAGGATGAGGCGGAGGAGGAGGATGAGGAGGATGTGGAGGAGGAGGAGCGGAAGGAGGAGAACAACGAGGATGAGGATGCTGAGGAGGAGGAGGATGATAATGATGAGGAGGAGGATGGCGATGAGGATGAGGAAGACGACACGGATACTGAGGATGATGCTGATGCTGATGCTGATGCTGCTGCTGATGATGATGATGATGATGAGGAGGAGGAGGAGGAGAAGGAGGAGGAAGAGGAGGACGAGGCGAGGGATGAGGAGGACGAGAGGGAGGAGGAGGAGGACGGGAATGAGGAGGATGACGAGGAGGAGGAGGATGAGGAGGAGGAGGTGGGGGGGGGGGGAGGATGAGGAGGAGGAGGAGGAAAGGAGGAGGAGGAGGAGGAGGAGGAGGAGGAGGAGGAGGAGGAGGAGGAGGAGGAGGGAGGAGGAGGAGGAAGGGAGGAGGAGGAGGAGGAGGATGACAAGTAAGAGGAGGAGGAGGAAGGGAGGAGGCGAAAAAGGAGGAGGAGGAGGGGGAGGAGGCGGAGGAGTAAGAGGAGGAGAGAGGAGGAGGAGATCATGATGATGATGAGGAGGAGGAGGAGGACGATGAGGAGGAGGAGGATGAGGAGAAGGAGGAGGAGGAGGAGGAGGCGGAGGAGGAGGAGGAGGAGGAGGGAGGCGGAGGAGGAGGAGGGAGGAGGAGGAGGAGGAGGGAGACGAAAGAGAAGGAAGGAGAGGAGAAGGAGGAGGAGGAGGAGGAGGAGGAGGAGGAGGAGGAGGAGGTGAGGAGAGGAGGAGAAGGAGGAGGAGGAAGGAGGAGGATGGAGGAGAGGAGGAGGAGGAGGAAATGGAGGAGGGGCGGAGGAGGAGGAGGAGGGGAGGAGGAGGAGGAGGAAGAAGGAGGAGGAGGAGGAGGAGGAGGAGGGGGAAGGAGGAGGAGGAGAGAGGAGGAGGGAGGAGGAGGAGGAGGAGGAGGAGGAGGAGAGAGGAGGAAGGAGGAGGAGGAGGAGGAGGAGGAGGAGGAGGAGGAGCTGAGGAGGAGGAGGAGGAGGACGGCGGAGGAGGAGGAGGATGAGGAATATGAGGAGAAGAGGAGGATGTGGAGGTGGAGGAGGAGGAGGAGGAGGAGGAGGAGGGAGGAGGAGGAGGAGGAGGAGGAGGAGGAGGAGGAGGAGGAGGAGGAGGAGAGGGATGAGAAGGAGGAGGAGGAAGAGGAGGTGGATGATGATGATGATGATGATGATGATGATGATGATGATGATGATGATGATGATGATGATGATGATGATGATGATGCTGATGATGATGATGATGATGA